AGGCGGGAGCTGACCATGGCGCCCCGCGCCCTCCTTTTGGCCTCTCCAGGAGAAGCAGCTGACGGAAGCCTACACCGAGGCTGTTGCTGTGCACCAGCAGCAGCTGCACCAGCTGGAGTTCGCCAGAAAGGTGCTGGAGAAGGTATGGGGGTGCCCACTCCATTCCCGAGCGAGGCCGCTGGCCGTGGTGGACCTGGCTGTCCTCCTTTCCCCCACCCCACCCCGCCCCCTGTGGTCCCGGGGTTCTGCCTCCCCCAGTTCTCTCCCCAGTGGCTCTCAGAGGCCGGTCTCCATCTCAGAGTAAGATCCTGGAGGTGCCACTTGGGGGGCTCACAGCTTAGCCACCGGGCAGTTTCCTGGTGAGGACAGGACAAGATCCCCACAGAGTCTTCAGCCTTAGGACCCAAGAGTCGTCCTCCCTGGGAGACGGGGAGCCAGAGGCTCTCCATGGCTCTTGGTGACTGGCCGAGGGACTCGCCAGCTTCTCCTGCCCAGAGGAGTACTTTGGCATCCCCTGGAGCGGGGTGGGCCCGTGCTGGGAAGCCCGAATGGAAGGGGGTCGGGGGAAGGTTGGAAGGCAACCCTGCTCTGTCTGTCTGTTCCTGTGCAAACTTGGCCTGGGCCCTGCCTTGCATCCTAATGTCATGGGATTAATGGGTCCTCTCAAAATCCTGCATCCAAGCGTCTCAGGCCTTCAGCTCCACCTCCCAGAACGTGCCGGGAGGCATGTCTCAGGAGGCAGGGAGGGGTCTCTGATCTCGAGTGGGAGGAGGAATGGGGCTTACTTTCTTCCTCGCCTCGCTGGTGCTCTCCCCTTCTTCCTCTCACCCCGCAGAAGGAGCTCAGTGAGGATACCCGGGGCACCCATGATGCACGGCAGGGGTCTGGGAGCCCCGCCCAAGCAGGAAGGGAGTCAGGGGCTCTGAAGTCCCAGCTGGAGGAGGAGAGGAAACGGGTGGCCCAGGTGCAGCGTGAGCTGGAGGAGCAGAGGGACCAGCTGCTGCAGCTGAGGACCCAGCGGCCCTTGGAGAGGCTGGAGGAGAAGGAAGTGGTGGAGTTTTACCGGGACCCCCAGCTGGAGAGCAGCCTGACCAAGGTGAGGTCCCAGGTAGAAGGCGAGGGCAAAAAGCGGGCCGGCCTGCAGGCAGAGCTGGAGGCGGCGGCCCAGAAGGCCGTGCAGCTGGAGAGCAAGAGGAAGGCCATGCAGCCTCATCTGCTGACCAAGGAGGTGACCCAGATAGAGAGGGACCCCAGTCTGGACAGCCAGGCGGCCCAGCTCGGCAGCGAGCTCCAGCACCTCCGCGGGGAGAACGCCGTCGTCGCAGCCCGGCTGGAGGAGCTGAAGAAGGAGCTGCTGGCCCTTGAGCAGAAGGAGGTGAACGTGAAGGAGAAGGTCGTGGTGAAGGAAGTGGTCAAGGTGGAGAAGGACCTGGAAATGGTCAAGGCGGCCCGGGACCTGAGGCTGCAGATTGAGGAGGACACTGCGCAGAGGAAGAGGGCGGACGAGGCCGTGGCCAGGCTGCAGGCCCGCATCGGAGACCTGGAGCGGGAAATCAGTGCCGTGCAGCCCAAGGTGATCGTGAAGGAGGCAAAGAGGGTGGAGCAGGACCCAGGCCTCCTCAAGGAGGCGTCCAGGCTCCGGAGCCTCCTGGAAGAGGAGAGGAGTAAGAACGCGATGCTGGCCAAGGAGCTGAAGGAGCTGCAGGACAAGTACAGCACAGTAGAGAAGCAGAAGCCCAAAGTGGAGCTGCAGGAGCGTGTCCACGAGACCTTCCAGGTGGATCCAGAGACGGAGCGGGAGATCACGCGGCTCCGGGCCGAGCTGCAGGAGACAGCCAGCAAGAGGAGCAGTGTGGAGAAGGAGGTGGAGCAGCTGCTGCCCGACCTGGCGGTTTTACGTGCCCAGAAACCCACGGTGGAGTACAAGGAGGTGACGCAGGAGGTGGTCAAGCATGAGAAGAGCCCAGAGGTGCTGCGGGAAATCGACCGCCTGAAGGCTCAGCTCAACGAGCTGGTCAACACCAGCGGGCGGGCCCAGGAGCAGCGCATCCGGCTGCAGGGCGAGCGCGACGAGTGGAAGCGGGAGCGGTCCAAGGTGGAGACCAAGACGGTGAGCAAGGAGGTGGTGCGCCACGAGAAGGACCCGGTGCTGGAGAAGGAGGCCGAGCGGCTCCGCCAGGAGGTGCGGGAGGCGACCCAGAAGCGGCGGGCCACCGAGGACGTGGTCTATGAGCTGCAGAACAAGTATCTGCTGCTGGAGAGGAGGCGGCCCGAGGAGAAAGTGGTGGTGCAGGAGGTGGTGGTCACCCAGAAGGACCCGAAGCTCCATGAGGAACACAGACGCCTGAGCCGGAGCCTGGATGAGGAGGTAGGCCAGCGGCGGCAGCTGGAGCGCGAGGTGCAGCAGCTGCTGGCCAGCGTGGAGGAGAAGGAGGGCCTGCTCAGCTTCCAGGAGGACCGTGCCAAGAAGCTGGCCGTGGAGAAGGAGCTGCGGCGGCTGACCTTGCGAATCCAGGAGCTCGAGAAGCGGCCCCCTGCGGTGCAGGAGAAGATCATCATGGAGGAGGTGGTCAAGACAGAGAAGGACCCAGAGCTGGAGAAGTCCACGGAAGTCCTGCGGCAGGACCTGGACCAGGAGAAGGCCCAGGTGGCAGAGCTGCATCGGGAGTGCAAGAACCTGCAGGTCCAGATCGACATCCTCCAGAAAACCAAGTCACAAGAGAAGACCATCTACAAGGAAGTGATCAGGGTGGAGAAGGACCGGGTGCTGGAGGGCGAGCGGTCCCGGGTGTGGGACATGCTCAGTAGGGAGCGCGCCAGCCGGAAAGGCCGCGAGGAGGAGGTGCAGCGCCTCCGGGAGCGGATCGACAAGGCCGAAGCGCTGAGCAGGACCTGGGCCCGGGAGGAGGCCGAGCTCCAGAAGGCCCGGAACCAGGCGAGCCAGGAGTGCAGGCAGCTGCAGCAGGAGCTGCGCGAGCTGGAGAGGCAGAAGCAGCAGAAGGTGCTGCAGCTGCAGGAGTCGTCGAAGCTGCTCAGCCAGAAGACGGAGAGCGAGCAGCACAAGGCCTCCCAGCAGGGCCAGGAGCTCTCGCAGCTCAAGGCGGCCATCCTCCAGGAGAAGGACCACATCTACGAGAAGGAGAAGACCCTCCGGGATCTGCACACCAAAGTGAGCCGGGAGGAGCTCAACCAGGAGACGCAGACGCGAGAGACCAACCTTTCCACCAAGATCTCCATCTTGGAACCCGAGACAGGGAAGGACATGTCCCCGTATGAGGCCTACAAGAGGGGCATCATCAATCGAGACCAGTACCTCCAGCTGCAGGAGCTTGAGTGTGACTGGGAGGAGGTCACCACCTCAGGCCCCTGTGGGGAAGAGTCGGTGCTCCTGGACCTCAAGAGCGGGAAGCAGTACTCCATCGAGGCCGCCCTGCGCTGCCGGCGCATCTCCAAGGAGGAGTACCATCTCTACAAGGACGGCCACCTGCCCATCTCTGAGTTCGCCCTGCTTGTGGCCGGGGAGACCAAGCCCTGCTCCTCACTCTCTATCGGCTCTATCATCTCCAAGTCCCCGGTCGCCTCCCCAGCTGCCCAGAGCCTCTGTTTCTTCTCTTCTGGCTTCTCTCTCGGGCTCGGCGACGACAGCTTCCCCATCGCTGGGGTCTATGACACAACCACAGACAACAAGTGCACCATCAAGACGGCCATGGCCAAGAACATGCTGGACCCCATCAGCGGGCAGAAGCTGCTGGAGGCACAGGCGGCCACGGGCGGCATCGTGGACCTCCTCAGCCGGGAGCGCTACTCCGTGCACAAGGCCATCGAGAGGGGGCTGATCGAGAATACCTCCACGCAGAGGCTGCTCAACGCCCAGAAGGCCTTCACCGGCATCGAGGATCCCATCACCAAGAGGAGGCTGTCGGTGGGCGAGGCCGTCCAGAAGGGCTGGATGCCCCGGGAGAGCGTGTTCCCACACCTGCTGGTGCAGCACCTGACCGGAGGCCTCATCGACCCCAAGAGGACAGGCCGCATCCCAATCCCGCAGGCCGTGCAGTCTGGGATGATCAGTGAAGAGCTGGCCCAGCTCCTGCAGGATGAGTCCAGCTACGAGAAGGATCTGACAGACCCCATCTCCAAGGAGCAGCTGAGCTACAAGGAGGCCATGGGGCGCTGCCGGAAAGACCCCCTGAGTGGCCTGCTGCTCCTCCCGGCCGCGCTGGAGGGGTACCGCTGCTTCCGCTCGGCCTCCCCCACCATGCCACGAGTGCTGCGCTGAGGGGGGCTCTGTCTCAGGAGTCTATGTGAGGGGGAGGGTAGGATGCATGCACCCCTCACCCCAGAGCAGCCTAATCCGGGGTGCAGGTCTTCTGTCTGTCCCTGTTCTACTCCTCAGCGTTCACGGTGTCAGGTCCCTCCCCTAACTTTGGTGCCCAGTCTATCCCCAGACCCAGAGACGAGCAGACCTGTTCCTCCCCAACCCAGTACTTCCAATAAACGCATTCTCCCAGCATCTTGTTCACATTTGGGGATGTAGAGCAGGGGTCCCCAACCCCTGGGCCACAGACCAGTGCTGGTCCTTGGCCTGCTGGAACCCAGCTGCACAAGCAGGAGCTGAGCAGAGGGAGGGAGCGAGCAAGCGAGTGAAGAAGCTTCGTGCACATTACCACCTGAACTCGCCTCCTGTCCCCGCCCTCCGGCCCTCCCCCACTGTCTGGTCCGTGGAAAAACCGTCCTCTGTGAAACCGGTCCCTGGTGTCAGAAAGGTTGGGGACTGCTGATGTAGAGTCGATTTGTCTGGGGCACAAGCATGAGGCACACCGCTTCCCTGGTGGGGGTGAACATGCCCACGGGGCCTCCTAGGAGCCAGGGGCTCTCAGAGGGTGAGGCCCCCGTGACTCTGGGAGGGATAAGCTGGCAGGTCAGAGAAGGAGATCGTGGACGGGCGAGTCCCTGGCATGCCCCCGACAGAACGACCCAGGAAAACTCAGTGCATCGCTTTTATTTCCTGTTCTTAAAGCCAGAGGCAAACAAATATAAGCATATCCTAGGTGACAACTATTTAGAACAGCTACACGCACCCCGACTTCTTCTGGGAGCAGGACAAGGTCCCCTTTCCCTCCTTTCACTTAGGACTCTAACTGAACTCTTTTCCAAAACATTTTAAACCCAAAAAGGCCAGCGGGGGCACCCTTTCCCGCAGAGTCGGGCTCTGCTGGGCAGGCATTCCGCTCTCCTTGGCCTGCTGCCCCAGTGCCAGGAGACCCAGCCTCTCACATACCCCTCATGCCCGGAGCTTCTGTTCCCCGATCCTGAGATGGCACCATCGAACCCAACGAACAACACAGGAACTCGCTAACTTGTCAGCAGGACTAACCCAAACTCAGCTCTCTGACGGCAGATGCCAAATTCCTTAGAGCTCTGCTCTCTCCCCAGACACGTTCTCTTTCGTGGAAGCTGATGAGGAGGCAGCTGGGGCAGCAGCTGGAGGGAGACTTAAAGGCGATGGCCTGACACATTCTCAGCGGCAAAAATGTTCCAGCACACACTGGTGGGGGGCTGGAGAGGTCTTGGTGGACAGGAAGTACGGATGGGCAAGGGCGCCCTTGGCTGAGATCCGCTGGCTGGGGTCGTACTGCAGGAGTTGCTATGAAGGAAGGAGGAAGGGGAAAGAGATGGGGCCTGGGGGCGGCCCGGGGCGGGAGAGGAATTACCCTCCCAGGTAAACCCCGCCCGGGGGGCCCCAAGCCCCAGAGTGTGCCTTCAGGCTCAGGACTGCACAAAGCCACCACCTCCCAGCTCGGGAGCCAGCTCTGACACTCCTGGGAGCAAGGGAAAGACTTGGCTCCGGTCCAGCCCTGCTGAGTCACCCCTGGCCTCCTACAGGCCACAGAGGCTGCGTCAGTCCCTCCCTCACCGAGGTCGTCTGTCTGGCTGGCCAGCCACTAGCTGAGACAGACTTCTGAGCGTGGGCCAAACCTGCCAGGGGGCACGGGCTTGCGGGTAGGGCAGAAACTCCAGTCCCCATTGCCAGCCAGGCCGGGGGAGGGCCCCTTGCCTCCGAGCCACCAGGACAGAGTGCGGAAAGCCTTGGTTGGCATCTACGCTCTCCTGCTGGTTGGGCTGGTGAATGCACACAGTTCTGGAAAGCAGCACATGGAGCCGGAAGGTAAAGCATTGCCCGGCCGTCCTCTAATCAACACCAAGTTCAAGGGAGAAGCGTGCCTCCAAGTCCTAGCGGGCACTCGGCTCTGGGCCAGCCCAAGGGATCGAGATGGAGCAACAGGAGGGGTGGGCGAGGACTGTGGCGGCCCTGGCGGCTGCGACCGGCCTTGTGTGAGAATGACCACTGCAGAAGGTGCTGCGGGGAACACTGACTCAGGAGCAGCTGGGGTCCCTGCCTGGAGAAGCTTACACTTTAGACAGGGTAGGAGTAACCGCAGGGAAAATTACCGAAAACACACAGCAACTTAGGACAAAGGGGCAAGAATCACAGCACCGAGCTAACTAGGACAGAGACGTTTTAAAAGGGAGGGTAAACGTTGGACTTAATTGTGGGAAAGGTCTCCAGGTGGAAGAATCAATATGCGCAGGGACTGGAACGAGCCAATTGTGTACAAGGGTCAGAAAAGACACCAGCATGGACTCAGAAGGAGCCAGGGTTACATAAAACACTGGTGAACAACAGGGACACTCCTGGCAGGAGCAGCAGCTGGACCTAGGAGGCCTTTCTTGCCCTCGCCAGCCACCTGCCTGAACCTACCATGAGCAGGTCCTTGCCCTCTGGCTCCAGGTTGGGCACAACATCCTCCAGCCCCTTCCTGGTCCACTTGGGGAAGCTGCCCTTATAGTCAGGCAGCTGGGTGACTCCTGGCCACATGGCTTCACTGGGTGTCCCCAGGGTCCGAAAGATGCGAAAGAGCTGGTCAATCTCCGAGTCACCAGGAAACAGAGCTTTGCAGGTCATCTGGAGTGGGCAAGAGGAGGAGGTATGGGGTCCCCTCCCTCGTCACTGGGAATCCAACACCAGCGAAGAGGCGAGACCAGGGAGGCGCCTTCAAGACCTCTCCCAGGGCTACGCTAAGAATCCTGGCCTTTTGGGACTAAGGCCAATCCTCAGTCCTTTAGCCAGCCCCGTAATCCCCCTCTCATGGGGGAATCAGAGCCCCACCCCCGCTCAGGAGGACCCTGCCTGTGGCCTCCCTGTGGCCGTGTCTGTCCCTCTCTCTACCATCTCTGCAAAGATGCAGCCAATGCTCCAGATGTCTACAGCCGTCGAATAGAATTTGCTGCCCAAGAGGATCTCGGGGGCGCGATACCAGAGTGTCACCACCTGTGGGGATGGGAAAACAGCATGGCTCAGGGTAGCTGAGGGCACAGGTGACTTCCCCTCAGTTGCCCTTCTCCCCCCTGTCCCATGGCACCTCGTGGGTGTAGGTGCGTAAGGGCACCCCGAAGGCTCGGGCCAGTCCAAAGTCAGCCAGCTTGATAGCACCCAACTCATTGATGAGCAGATTCTGGGGCTTCAGGTCTCGGTGGATGACGCGATGTGAGTGGCAGAAATTGACCCCCTGCAGCAGCTGGAAGAGGTAGCTCTGGAACAGTGAGCGTGAGAGGAGGCGGCTCAGCGGAGGTGGAGGAGGGGCCGGCTGAGCACGGCGGCAGCAGGACCTCCCCGAGCGGCCCCTCGTACCTTGACCAAGTGCAGGGGGAGCTCGGAGACGGGGGTGGAGTCCATGAACTTCTTCAGGTCCTGGCTGAGGAACTCAAACACCAAGTACAGCTTCTTCTCGTTGTGCACCACGTCCAGCAGCCTGGCCAGGGACGCCAGTCAGGATGCGGCCCCCAGGGCGCCTGGGACAGGCCTGGCCTCCCCACCTCCTTCCCCACCCCACCTGACGATGTTTGGGTGCTTAAGCTCCTTGAGCAGGGAGATCTCCCTGATGGCGGTGCTTGGGACCCCCTCGGTCTCTCTGCAGGAAAGGAGAGGACAGCAGGGAGTCACAACAGCTGCTTCAGCCCTGGCTGGCGTGGCTCAGTGGATTGAGCACTGGCCTCAGAACCAGAAGGTCGCTCCTTCCGGTCCCAGTCAGTGCGGGTTGTGGGCCGCGCGAGAGGCAACCACGTTTGTTTCTCTCCCTCCCTTGCCCTCTCTCTAAAAATAAATAAAAACTGAAAGAAAAAGAGTAAGAATCTTTAAAAAGAAATAGAAGATGAAGGATGCTTCTGCCCTGGAGGTGGGGGACGGGGCGGGGGGCAGCGAGCAGGCGCTGGGCTCCTCAGAACACACTCATCCCCACCAGGGGCCCAAGGCAAAGCCTGGGCGCGGCGAGGACCAGCGAGGGCCGCACCCCTGCGGCCACCCCGGTGTACCTGGGCAGTGTTCGGTAAAGGAGCCGAACCTAAAACCCTGAGCTGAGGGGTGGACGGGGTAGCTGGGCCCGGGGGTCGCCTCGGGCTGGGGTGTCTCGGGGCCGGCCCAGCACTTACAGATCCAGCCGGATCTTCTTGAGGGCCACCAGCTGCCCCGTCTCCTTGTTCTTGGCCTTGTACACCACCCCGTAGGTGCCCTCTCCGATCTTTTCTACCTTCTGGAACACGTCCATGTCTGCGGAGCTGCCCGGGAAACAGACGGCGCCCCGGCGTTCGCCTCCACGCCCAGGCCCCCGCCCGCCGCAGCCCCGGGCCCCGCCCGCGCCCCTCCTGCCCGCGCTCGCAGGGCGCCCAGCTCCCCGGCGCCTGCCTCGGCCCCGCCCCCATCTCTGGGACCCCGTCTGGAGCAGGACTGTCTCCGCCAGCAAGGCCCCGGCTATGGGGCGCTGGAGAGCCCTAACTTCTCGGGCTCGGCCCGCCTCTGCCCAGCCGGCCCGGAGCTGCCCCGAGGGCGTAGGGTCAGGTCAGGCCAGTCAGGGGGCAGCAAGGGTTTCCGGAGCCAGGGGCCCGCCCCAGGGCGAGGGCCTGGGCCCGGCCAGTCTGGGGACGCTCGGCCCGCCTTCAGAGCAGAGCGTCCGCGCCGTCGCGCCCCCTGCGTCCCAGGGCCCCCAACCTGGACTCGGCGCCCCCGGCCCTCTCCCCTCAGGCCCGAAGCCGAGAATTCACCAGAAAGCCCGCGCTGCCGGCTCCGCGGCTCCCCCTCCCGGCCGCGACGGGCGCTGCACCACGTGCACACACAGCGAGGTCTCCCCGGGCCTTTATTCCGAGGACCTTCTGGAACCCTCCGTGCCTCCCTAGAGTCCCACAGCCCGCAGCGCCCAGGGCTCGGCTCCTGTGCCCTCCTGGGGGAGGGGTGTCAGGCCTTGGTGCCTCCTCTCCAGGCTGCGTTTCTGGAACAATCTCCAATTAACAAGCTCTCCCCGCTCTTCTCTCCGGCTCCAGAAAAAGGCCATCACTGGGGTAAGTCCCTGCATCTTCTCCGACTCCTCTGTCGCGGCTGTGGCTTCTCCCGTGGCCTTGACCGCAGGCGCAGGGTCGGGGGAGGGTCCCCAGAAGCCACCAGTTGCTACGGGCGGCTGTCCCTCTCCTGCTGGTATGTCCTCTGCTCTCCAATGGCATGTTCTAACAGGGCGAGATTCATTCCTTCCACGCAAGTCAGCACTCGCGCCTTCAGCACTGGACCTCCGTCTGAAAGACATAAACACCAAGGCGCTGGCTCGCGCTGCGGGCCAGCTGTCCCCCCTCTGCCTGTTCTCAGTCCCGAGATTTTTTTGTCCGATCACCCAAGAATATGTTTATTGATTTGAGGGTGAGGGGAGAAACATCAATGTGAGAGAGAAACATCGATCAGTTGCCTCCTATAAGCACCCTGGCCAGGGATCGAACCCGCTACCTTTCAGTGGTGTATGGGGTGATGCCCTAACCAGCTGAGCCACCAGGCCAGAGCTCAGTCCAGCATTTTGACAGGACAGCTGTGACAGAGCACACATGACACTGGCCATTTGTCTACTTGGACCCCCCATGCACTACAGGCACGTGTCCGGCACTTAGGGGGTAGCCTGAAAATTCCGCCTCTCCAGGGAAGGAGGACCAGAGAGACGTACCTCCCCCTTCCGTCCCTTGTCATCTCGGTTCCTGCTACCTTCTCTGTAGGGCCCGAGTGCCTGAGGTTGAGGGCGGGGGGGGGGGGTCTCTGTCACCATTCCACTTATTCCTATCTGTTTTCCATTTGTACCGAGGGAAGGGCATCCCGGGACCCTCTGGCATTGGAAATCAGGGCAAAGAGACCCCCACGTTTACTAAACCCAAGGGGGAGACCTTGGCCTTATAGGGGCAAGTCATCCCACCCCAGACAAGGGGCTCAGGGGGCTCCTAGCAGATGCTATGGTGACCTGATGGTGTCGAGGTGCAAGTGACATCAAACGGATAAGACATCTGGGGTTTGCCCTAATCGGCTCTTCCATGGAAGAAAAGGGGCCATATATTAACCTGACGAGCTCAGGGGAGGCCTGTGAGATGGCCTTCCAAACCCGGAGACCCCAAGTGACCTCCAAGTATGGTCTGAAACGACAACTCATTTAACTATAAGCAGTCGGGCCAGTCCGAAGCCGGTGTTTTTCTCTAACAAAGACTCACCTTTCCCTTAACTGAGCCTGTCTACCATCTTTTTGCACCTTTGCAGCATCCAGGTAACTTCCCTTCCCCCCACCCCCACCAGAACGGAGACTACAACTCCCCTCACAGTTACTGTTATCGTGTTAACTGTTGACAGTTGACTATCCTTTACCCACCTACGGAAAATAAGTGTCTTTCATTTCACCTTTTCTCCAGTCCCAGAGGTTCCCCACCCCCACGCCTTGCTTTCTCCCCCCTCCCCAGTCTATCCCAGTGGATGTCACGTGCCCCCCCCCAGCCGCCCCCTCGGACTGTGAGGTGCCTCACTGCCGCTCTCCAGAGCATTGCTCAGTCCGCTGAGATTGTGCTTCCTGGCGATTGTCGTCAGTTTGTCTCAAACTCGCAAAAATTCTCTACAGGTTTGAATGTTTCTTCTGTTGACGCTGCTTTTACTTTTTTCACTCCTGTTCTCTCTGCTCTCTGGGTGAATCGATGACTGCACCCAATGTTCTAGGACAGTGTCCTGTCTCCCCGTGACGCAGTGCAGGGAGAGGGAGGCCCGCGGTCAGGCGAGGTCTGCGCCTTCCCTTGTCTCTAGGCCACTTTATTGACTTAACGCAGCCGGGCAGAATTCAGAGTGTGGGATCATGTAGATTCCAGCCTTCGACACGGGAAGATTATTAACTTGTTTGAAACAGAAAGTTGCCTGTGTGTCACTGGCTGCTGTTGGCCCCAGTGCTGGGCTGCAGAGACACATGGCCTGGGGTGGAGTGGGCCTGTGACAATACCCAAAACCACCGGTCAGTGTGGGCCATTCCCATCCCTCCTCAGGCGTCGCCAGGCCAGTATACCTGCCAGCCAAACAGATGTTTGCCTAAACTTCTCGCAGCACTACGAGGTCGAGACCCACCCTTCCTTCCTTCTTTCCTTCCTTCCATGAACAGGTTACTTTTAATTCTATTTCCTGCACATTCTAAAAAGCATATATTTTTCCCAACTTAATTAGACTTTTCAGTTTTTAGTGACAAAAGTAATTAACATTCATCCTTTTTTATCTTTTGAAAACAACTCTTTTGCTCAGTAACTTAAGCATCATTAAATAGACTGTTTCTTGTGACACACGTGGCCTACATTGTTATCACGGAGCAGCTGTGTGTGCTCAGCATGACCTGCGGGGTCCAAGGCACAGTTTAAAATCTCAAAACAGGAGCCTGCACCCAATGCTTCCAAACTGCCCATACGAGCGTTGCCTCAGTATTGGGCTTCATTTCACAGTGCTTCCCTTACAGCCCTCTCCCCCTCAGCCTGCGGAGCCCTCCTGTCTAGGTTTACATAGTGGAACGAGCTGTTTCTCCCTGGGAATGAAAATTCACAGCCATTAAACATGCAGGTGAGCTTCAAAAATACGATTATCACAAGGGACCAATCTGTTAGTCCACCTGCGAAAGGCCAGCGGCATGAAAAGAATAGCGTTTGAGGAAGTGTCAAGGGAAGGGAGAAGGGAGTTATGAACAAGACAGCTAGAGAAAGGGCCCGTTAGGGGAGCCTCTTCTTGCAAAGATCGAGACGCTAGAGCAGGAAGGAGGGACCGAGTTATGGGAGCCGTCCTGGTGCAGTGGGCCGAGCTGTGAGCGGGACAGGAGGGGGCCCGGCCGAGACAGCAGGCCTCTCAGGGAGCCTGATGGCGAAGGGGAGGCGGGTCACGGCCGGGTAGGCACACAGAGCAGAGCACGACATTATTACCATTATTACTGAGGCAGGAAAGTTAGAACGGGGAACAAAGGCCTCACGCTCTACCCCTCCCCTTGTCTGTCCTGGCCGGAACATCACAGATGCCACCTTCGCTGGCCACCTGTTCCCCTGCTACCTCCTCCTCAATTTCCTGTAATTGAGAGGACCAAAAAGAAAACAGAAATCCAAGCCATGCAGACAGTCCCCCCCAGCATCCGAAGCCCATGGTTCATTAAAACCCCCCACCTGGACCCCATCGATGTGTCTCGCTCTCCGAGGTCGCCTGCTATCCCTTCTCGAACGCAGTCTATCACAGTAATAAGTTTACTGTACTTCACTAAGCCCCGTCACGCTCTTGGATTCTCCTTGTTCCACGGCAAGGACCCAGGTCTGGCAGAGACCTGCTGCGGCCGCCCCAGGCACTGTCTGGCACCGCTCCCGTCGTTGTTACTTTAGAGTGGAAGTGGCTCCAGGGCTTTATGCGTTGAGGGGGAGGAACCGCTATAACAGGTGGTGGGCTCCGCTGAGGGGGCAGCACCCCCACAGAGGGCAGGCCACGGATCCCAGCCACAGCGCAGGGCCATGCCTCAGGCCGCAGGGACCCTTCTCCGTCCCAGACTGGGGCAAGGGGGCTGCTGACGGGCGTGGACGGGCGTATAATTTGAGGGGGACGGACTGCTGCTGCAGCTCTGACCTTACCGGGATGTAGGATTTGCGGTCATTTGCAGAAAGGGACAGGGGACGTGATCAAGGAGGGGTCTTGCGGAGCAGGTGGCTGCCTGAAACAGCTGCGTGGGTTGTGGGCCTGGGGTTGAGAGGGGCATGTGGGAGGGTTCCTGAGCAGCGTGGAGGCCCCCGTGAGATAAAAGGCCGTGAAATCATCGTGCCAGGACTCCAAGGAGCTCTGTGGGCTTTCTCCACCGACAGCCAGGAGGAGCCTGAGCCGGCGGAGGTTGGGGTTTAACAGGCAGGAGTGAGGGAGGGCAAGGGGCTGGAACTTCTGCCAGGGTCGAAGTGGTGGTGAGGTCCAGCCGGAGGGGAGGAAAGGGAATGGGAGAGAGAAGAAGGGAGAAAACGGAGGGGTCCCGAGTCCACGGGGCGGGAGAGGCAAAGGCTGGAGCTGCTTCAGGGAGCAGAGGTGAGGTCACCCTGGGGACAGCTGTGGGTGTCAGAGGCAGAGGTGGGACAGATCGCGGGGTGGCAGAACTGGTTGCCCGCCGAGGTCAAAGAGAAAGGCGTGCAGTGACAAACCGGAGGAGCCAGTGGGTTGCAGGTGCCACCTCAGTGGGGTGTGTGGCTTGGGAAGCTGACAGGGCCTCCACCAGGGAGGGTGTGTGGGGAGGTGTGGGCCTGGGGAGAAGGCAGGTTTCAGGCAGGTCCCTGTGGGACCTGCAAAAACATGCAAAGGAGGCTCGAAGATGTAAGAGGGAAGGTCCCAGAGGACACGACAGGAGGAAACAGCAGTGCCGTGGAACAAACCAGAAGGGGCGCACATGCGGGTTTTACAGCAAGAGTTCCAGGGCAGCCTCCAGCCGGGAAATCCTATTAGGGACTCTGGACGAGAGTGGGGAAAGACCTAATACCTGAACAGGAAGCCCTCGGGCCTTTGGATGGTGCCCAAAGAAGGTGGCACTGCCAGCGAGTTTCAACACAGAGCTGGCATTTCTTTACCTTCTCTATCTCCTGAGCAAACTCTTAGTGTAAACGTTTCAGACAGGTGACTTTAGGCAGCACCACCATCCTGTTTTGGGGCATGCCTCGTGTCTGGTTGACCTGTGTGTCCCCACAGGAGTTTGGACCTGACCAGGGGACCAGCCACGTGTGCCCCTCTGCCCTGGCTGAGGTGGGGTGGCCACTTCCATGCCCGGCCCGTGCTCTGCCTCTGTCTCCTCATTGTCATGTTTCTTTCCTTGTGTCAGCTGCCAATGGTGAGCAGGTATGACTTTCAGAAACTTGGGGAACATTTTTTTAAGAAAGTAAAGGAAACAGGTTATAGCGTAATTGATAAACTAGCCAGAGCCTAGGAAGCACACCACATGGTGTGAGGGTGAGTTGTTCAGGTTCCGTTTTTCCTTTTTTGGCCAGAGCATTTCAGAGTGGCCTCCACACAGGACTCAGAGTGACAAGGCAGGCGCGCGGCCCCAGCTTACCCTCCTGGTGCTCGAGCTCCCCAAGCACCATGTACAGGGAGCCCGTCTGCGCCTGGAATGGCTCCACCAGCTTGGTGCAGACGAGCACCTGGTGCTGCTCAGACCCACGTCGAGCCATCAGGGTCGCCCGGGACTGGGCCACGTCGTAGAGGCACAACCTGGAAGCCAGGGAAAGGGTGATCGTTTCTACCCACAGACACAACCGCCACAATGCTTACAAGGTTTGGGGAGGCCAATAAATCCGGGGGGAAATGGTCTGCCATACTTCAATTAGACAAAGTAAAAATGGCGGCAACAAATCAGAAAAATAATTTCAGTGGAGTGTTGAGGAATGAATTACATGCATTAAGAGACACCTGTTCGGTGAGTTTTAACAAAAATACATACTTGGTGTAACTCCCCTCCCTCGGCCCAGTCAAGATTTAGTACATTTCTATCACCTCTGAAAGTTCCCTTGTGCCCCTTTGAAGTCAGTTTCCCTATTTCCCTCCCATGCTTTTGGTCTCTGTAGATGAGTTTTCCTGATCAGGCATCTCGCACAAATGAAATTGTAACAGCACATGCGTTTGTGTGTCTAGCTTCCTTCATTCAGCATGATGATGTTGAGATTCATTGATGTTGTTGGGTAAATCAGTACCTTCTTCCTTTTCATTGCTCAGTAGTACTCTGTTGAATGGGTAAAGCAATGAAACAACATTTGTTGTTCAGCAACATTGGCTGAAATGACCCTCCTTTTCTCCACTCAAATACAGTGGTGTCTTTGTTGAAAATCAACACCTTTTGGTTAAGTAAATAGATTAGTTACCGGTGAATAAATTTGATATATCTAGGCCATGAAATAAAGTGGATCTACTTAAAGTGATGATATAGATCTATACACTTGGCATGGAACTAGGTCTACCATATCCAAGTAAGAAAATACATAAATGGTACCATTTAATAATACAATAGGATCACATGTAGGTTAAAAGATTTCTACATATGTGTACATGTCTCCAGGAGACATAGTGAATTTTTTCCCCAATGATTCTTTTCTCTTGGCATTTGTATCCCTGGGTAACCCCTCACCACCCTGATCAGCAGTGACTCATGTAGCCAATAGGCTATTGCAGAAATGATGGAGACTGACCTCCAAGGTTAGGTCATAGAAGGCAATGTGCCTTCTCTTCGCTCTCTCCCGTTGGATCACTCCTTCCAGGGAAAGCTGCCAAGTCGCGAGGCTCTGCCAACAGCCCCAAGAAGGAACCTACCCTGGGAGGGGCTGAGCCCTCTGGAGAGCAGCAGCGCTGACTCGCCCAGCTGTGAACAAGTCGCCCTGGGAGCAGGTCCTCCAGTCCAGTCCAGCCTCCCAGAGCTTGGCCGTCTGGCCAACGTCTTCACTGCGACCTCAGAAGTGAATCTGAGCCCAGGCCACCCCGCTAATCCACTCCCAGGTTCCTGACATGTAGTAACAATGAAATAATAAGCTTTTGTTATTGTTTTAAGCCACTAAATTTTGGGGGTAATTTGTTACACAGCAATACATGACTCATACAGTACATATGTGTGTGTGTGTGTGTGTATAGTGTATATACATACCCGCATGCTTACACACACACACGCACGCGTGGAAAAGTCTATAAAGTAATCACCAAAAGGTTAGCAGTGGTTGTTGACTGTGGGATCACAGGTGATTTTTTCTTGATTTACGGATTGTCAATGTTTCTTACAATGAAGGCATATGAAGTTTTTAGCATTTTAAAAATAATTAGACAAAATGATAATAAAACTATTTCGATTGTTCTTGGGGGGCCACTTAAACATGCCCCCACCTTGTGAAGAAAGAAGTATCCTCACCTGCCGAACGTCCTCAAGGCGCCCCCGTCAGGAACTTGGCCAGCACTGATCTCCCAGGGGAAGTAGTAGACCCCAGGTTTGGGCAGCGTCATTGGCTCCCGTCACCGAAGAGCTGGGATGGATTTCTGAAGATTTCTGACAAACCAAGCAGACAATGGGACAGAGATTAGCAGATGCCTGAGACCCGCACCATCGGAAAGGCTAATTCCAGTGGGTGGTGGTTTAAAATTAAAAATAATTTTTTTTTGTAGGTTATGCTTTCACGTAGCAGAGAATTGCTCCTGCTCCAATCCCTGTGCAACCCATTCCCTCCCTGATCCCCTAAAGGAGGGCTCTGCCACAGGGCGGATGACAGTCTGCCACCCCTGTCACAGCTGCTCCACTCTGCGTGGCAGCGCAGAGGCACTCGCACATGCGCCCAGGGAAAGGGGCACTGCGCGGGCTTTGCCCTGCTTCTTCCCCTGTGAGCTGTGGGCACATGCTGCTCTGAGTCTTGATTTTTTTATTACCGTATTTTGACATTCTTTCATAGTTGTACATAAAAGGAGTCTTCATGTTTTTTAAAATAAACCTTTATTTTGGAATACTTTAAGATTTTTTTTTTAACGTGTAAAGATGGTATAGAGAGTTCCTGTGTACCCAGCTTCCCCTGTAATTAACACCTTACATTAGGGTGACATGTTTGTCAGAATTAACGAACCCATATAGAGGTGATTTTTAACTCCATGCTTTATCTGGATTTCCTTTGTTTCCCCTCGTGTCCCCCTTCTGTTAGAGTCTCCCAGGAGACGCATCACATTTAGTCGTCCTGACTCTTTAGATGCTTCTGGGCTGTGGCAGGTTCTCGGACTTTCCTTGTTTTTTAATGACCTTGAGAGATCTGCGGTATACTGTTCAGGTATTTTGTAGTATGACTTTCAATAGGGGCTTGTCTGATGTTTTTTCTCATGGTTATGCTGGGGTTATGGGGTTTTGTTAAAATTTTTTTAAAAGAAAGAGAAGGCTTGGTGAATATGTGATGTACTAACAATGCAATGGGACACTCACAGGCTTTTGTTTTTTGGTATTTTATTTAATCTTTATTGTATTTTTTTTCTCACAGGCTTTTAAAAAATGAGGCATTATACATACTCATATGGCAAGATCTCCAAGATACACTGTCAGGAAAAAATGTGAGGAGGAGGCCCGTACATATAATATGTACCTTTCTGTGTGTGTGTGTGTGTGTGTGTGTGTGTGTGTGTGAGAGAGAGAGAGAGAGAGAGGTTGTGCACGAGCGAGCGCGCAACTCTCTAACATGAGAAGCCTCATGTGGAATGTTAGCAAGGTGGGGATTCAGCAATGATTGTTCGGTGACAGAGGGATCCTGCAGGTGAGAGCCTTCGACTATTTCTTGATAGGACAAGAACGTGGAGACACAAAGAAAATGGTAATGAAATAATCCCAAGCAAGATCGTTGCAGAAATCAGATGACATAGCTTTCATCCAGAAGTGCAATGTAACTTAGAATGTTGTACAACTCGTTTCAGTCTCCCGGTGAGGTCAGTAGTGTTGTGTCATCCATGGTCCCTGCTCACATCAGCAGTGTGTCCTAGACACTCCTGGCTTGTGCCCCATGGGCCACTGGCCAAGGTCCAGTTCTCCCCTGAATGCACACGCTCTGCAGGGCAGGACCAGGGAGCAGAGCCTCTGTCACCAGAAACGAAACACCCTCTAATCGTCTTTGGGGGTGAGAGAGAAGCAAAAATTAAACAAAAAAACTCTCAAACACTGCCAAGAGGTTGCTGTGCTTCTTGTTTGGGATTATGGGGACAATCCTGTCCAACCTTGCAAAAAGCTGAAATTTTAGAATCTCTTTTAGGGTAATTTTTCCACCCTGAAGCACCATGTATACAATAGGCTGAGCTTTAAGTAACGATGCCATTCAATTTATTTTTATTTTTAAAATCATCATGCAGTAGGATTGACTCTTGGAGGGCATACACTTAGAAATTTAACCTCCATTTTTTTTTTTTTAAACAAAAGTTGCTCTGCGTTTATTAAGAAAGCACAGCTGACTCCATAAGCCGTCACCCGCATATTATCACACAAAGTTCCTGAGATCAGGACAGGCTTCTGACTCAGCTGTTTCAACTAATCTTAGAAGCTGGAGTAGTGGCGCCACCTGTCAATGAAGGGCCTTGCCGTTTTCTCTCCGCCAGGCCCTCCTGGGAGAGAAATCCCTGGTAGAAACGAGAAATATGCTTCTTTTTAAGGACTGGGAAGTTTGACAATACTGTACAGGAAGGATGGTGAACCAGTCTGACTGCAGTCTGACTTGGCAATTGCTTTTTTCTGCAGCAATTGCCAAGGTTTCCGTAGTGGGATCAAAGGTAAGAGAAGTGACCCCTGTAACCGAGTTCGTCATGGCTTTTATCAGCTTTGGGTTTCTTTCTTTCTCTCTTTTTTTAACCCAGAAGGTGTCTATTGGGATGGGTCCCCCACTCATCTTGATTTGGGGTACGCCGCGCTTGGCCTCCAGCGGGGCGACGGCACTCCCAAGACTGCAGCTAGTGCTCGGCTACAGGCGGCCGGAAGTAACAGCCTCCAGGGCATCTCCCATTCATTCTCTAAGAACTGGGGCTCTGTGCCAGGCACCTCTGCTTGTGTTCCCTCTTCTCTTCTGGAGAGGGATGAAGGAGCTCCTTAGTGAGAGGCATGTTGTCGTGGGGAGGTCATCACCGCTGGAAAGGTTCATTTCTTTCTTGAAGACAAGAATCCTGACTGTGTACGTTTACCACTCCACAACTTGATTAGATTACTGGTTTATTATGAAAGGATAGAACTCAGGGATGGCCAGATGGAAGAGATGCACAGGGCGAGGTATGTGGGAAGGGGCGTGGATCTTCCACACCTTCCGAGGGCACGGCTCCCACACGCCCCTGCATGTTTACCAACCCAGAAGCAACTCGTTAATGATTTAAAAGTTACAATTCTTTGTTAGCCTATATTGCACAATGAATCTTCAACACAAAAAATCGAATTATATGATTCATGATTTGAACTATGGCCTTGAAAGGCTCTATCACATGGGGTATAGAGAGTTTACATGTGATCTCAGCTAAAGAATTTAACAGTAAGCAGAAAAAAGGATTATTTCACTATGTCTTTAAAAGTTTATGAGGTGGGTAGAGGGAGGGTGGAGGAGGGTATGGTGGCATAAATGGTGACGAATGGAGACTCAACTTGGGGTGCTGAACCCAACACAGTGCACGGATGATGTGCTGTAGAACTGCGCATCTGAAACCTGTATAATTTTGTGAACAAGTGTCACCCCATTAAATTCAATAAAAAGAAAAAAGAAAGTTTTCCAATCACCAGAGGAAGATACCAGAGAAATCTGTGGATGTTAATACAAATTATGAGAAACAGGATATTTACATATCTCCCCACAGAGTATTAATTACAAAGAGAAATACGGTGCACTTCACAGTGAAGAAACCCAGCAAACATAACCTGCATGTAACTCCAGGACATCATGCACTGACAGTTAAAAGATTTGCGCTTTTATTATAGCTGATAGGCTTAAGTGCTAATGCGTCTGGGAAGCTTCTGCTGAACTGGGACACCTGCCCCTAGGAGGCTGACAGCAGAGCCGCTGTGTTCCAGAGAGGAAAGTCTGTGACGCAGATAAAGAACTGTTGTTCAACAGATACAGAAATACTAGGAGTCACCTACTGTGCTGCCACTCGTACCTGATTAGCCCTTTCCCAAACCTCTTATCTGCCCTTTTCTTCTCCTTATAAAAAGGTCAGCTTGAAATGAGATGTTAAGAAGGTTTTTAGGGTACGTAACCCACCATCTTCTCAGATGACCGGCATCTGAATGAAGTGCCCATAAAGGTTCAATCCTTGTCTCTACTCACCGGTTCTGGGAGTGACGCGCAGCCTGAATGCCGACATTTCCAGTTTCACCTCTTCCTCAGTGAGGCCTTCCCTGTCTACCCCATCTAAAGTAGCATTCCCCCTCCCCCCCAATCACTCTACTGCCTCACCTTGCTTTATTCTCTTCACTGCAGTTTATTAAATAATAGCATTTCAAATGATGATGTGTTTACTAGTTCAATGTCTATGCCTCCCACGAGACTATCAGCTCCATGAGGTCAGGGGTCACATTATTCCTCGGTGTATCCTCAGTCCCATACAGCACCTGGGACATCATAGTAAGTGTTGCATGGTTGAATGTATTCGTGCAGAAGAGAGTGAAAACAAAACCATCTACTCCCACACTCAGCCTGGACACAAACAACCCAAACCACACCTTTAATGCCTCCATGAAGGTGACTTTGTGGTCTGCTGCCTTCATTGGCAATTTTTTACCCTTCCTAGACCATCAAGCCCAGGCAAATGGTTTGAACATTAACAGCCAGTTTACCCAGAGATTCTTTGAATTCTTTCCCTTTTTTCCACGAATTTTGGACTACTGTACAGTGGCTCTTAACCAATCCTAATCAAGACCTTGAACTGAGAAACCTGCCTTAAACCAAACTTCCAGTCCTCAAAAAATTCGGGCCTTACCTTCTCCTCTCTGAGACCCTGCCAAAGCTTTGCTAAGTAGCATTCTTCTTACCCAAGTAGCAATAAATCAACTTAGTCTATCAACAGGTTGTGTTGGTGATATTCTGAGTCAGTTTTTAAAAATTAATTTTTTGGATGGAGGACAGCAAAGGGGGAAAAATAGGGACAACTGTAATAGAATAAAATATTTTTAAAAATTAATTTTTTAAAAGACTTCATATATTTATTTTTAGAGAGGGGGAAGATAGAGAGGGAGAGAAACATTGACCTGTTGCTTCTGAGCAGCACCCTGACCAGGGACTGAACCTGCAACCCAGGCAAGTGCCCTGACCAGGAATCAGCTAGACTGTTCGCTTTGCAAGACAATGGCCAACACACTAAGCCACACTGGTCAGAACCTGAGCCAGGTTTTGACAGTATCTGTCAAAGAGGAATGCAATCTAAACACAGTAGCCAAACTAAACAGCATCAGTAACAGTGTCTTCCCCCAGGTATGCTGGAGCTTGAGCAAAAGGAATAATCAGTGTCTCCCTTCCCACTCTTCTTCCCATGTGAGTTACCTCTGCTGTTCTGTCTCCTAAGCTCCAGGGGCCTGTCTACTACCTCTGTAACTTTCTAAGTAAACTTTTTCTTATAACTTGGAAAAAAAAGTGATAATGATCTTGTCTGCATTTACATTTTTGGTATTTTATTCATTGTGGATTCTCCTGCATTAATTTCGATTTTTTTTAATGTTGCATTAAAACACTATTAACCTTGGTTAATAGTTTGGCACTTCTTAAATTTTTATGTTGGAGGTGAATGCCTCACTCATCTTAGCCTACTCCCAGTACTGGGAGGAACACGGTATTAAATTTATAGTTTTATGGTGGGGAGTGGGGAGGTTCGATGTAAAGTAACCTCACCTTTAACTTTGTTAATGAAAGGTTTTAAGCCAGCCCTGTCCTGTCCCTGTGCATCTAGGTTAACACACCTTTGAAATAAATGTAATCAGTCTCCAGAGAACACATAATCTTACTTAACTCTTATGTAATCTAATCCCTCCTTGCTTTTCCCCACCTCCGTATAATAATCTTTATGTTTTCTCCGTAATTTCAAATGCATAAAAGCAGCTGCAAAACTGTTGTCTGGAGCAGTTGACATCTTGCTTCCCCAAATATGTCGTCACTTTGACTCAAATAAACTGTTACAAAAATTCTCTACAGGTTTGGCCATTCCTTAATACGACTGCAGTTTAAAAAAAAATAGGGATTAAATATCGATTAAAGTTTCAAAGGTAAGTTAGGGAGATATAAAGGGGATGGTTTAGTGTAGTTTATCTTTATTATGTGATGAAGTAAAAAACTAACGAAAATGAATTAAAAGCATTTAAGTATTTCACAAATTTTTAGGGACCAGAACTAAAAGCACGACTAATTAACAGTGGCTGCTTCGGAGGATGGGGAACTTTTGCTTTTCATTACAAATCCTCCTGTACCAGGTTTGTAAAACGTGCACTTACAACTTTGATGACGACGAAGATAATTGAGAAAATAAAGTGAATTCCATGGTATAAGCACAGGGCTAGCTCGGTCTCACTTTAAGTACGCGCCCACCCCGTCAACCCGGGAGGAGCACCCGCAATCCCACACCCAGCTCCGAGCTGCCCACACTTCTGGCAGCAGAGGTGCCATTAGCTTAACAAAATACAACTGGAGCCTCTTCCCAGTGCTACTTTCATTGCCGTCCTTTCTTGATCCAATGTGGGAAGTTCTGGGAAATCCTACGACCTCCCCTAGCAACTGCGCGAAGTCCACAGGCGCTCCACCTCGCAGACCTAGTCTGCATTCCCAGCAGGCCTCCGCGCGGAGACCCCGGGAGCGGCGGGGTTGCGAGGATGGACGTGAGAGGGGCGAGGCGCAGGCGCAGTTTTCCTTAACCTAGTCGTCCCGCCCCTCCCCAACCCTCAGCCAACCTGTTCGGGCGTCCAGGAAGCCTTAGGCTTCCTTTTTCCGCCCCACGTGATCACGTGACGAGGGAGGGGCGAGTTACCGAGAGCCCCTCGCGTCTTCGACTCGCGACAGCCCCGGCCAATTTCTTGAACTTCTTCTGGGGTCTCCTCTCTGGTGTGGAGGGCGGGGGGTCCGCTCTGAGGCTCCCCTGGCAGAAGGCTTGGGACTCGCCTCCTCGGTGGTCGGCCGGGACACGGCGACCGCGCCAGCGCCGCCGCCTCTTCGGGTTAGGCGTTTCACCCTCTGAGGGGCCGCGGTGAAGGAGAAGGGGCGGGCCGGGGGCGGGGCCTCGCGCGGTACTGGGGCTGCTCTTCTGGCCGGGCTGGCACTTTGGCTACGGACATCCTTCGTCTTCTTCGTCTCGTCTTCCGTGACCTCCGCTTGTCGTCACCATGAATCCGGACCTGCACCGGGAGCGGGCCGCCGCCAGCTTCAACCCCGATCTGCTCACGCATATCCTGGACGGCAGCCCACAGAAAACCCGGCGCCGCCGAGAGATCGGTGAGGGCGGCGTGCCGGGCCTCCCTCCTTCCCCGAGCGAGGCTCCCCAGATACGAAGTCTGAGGGTGCCGAAGGCCGCAGGCTGTGGCCCAGCTATCGGGGCGCTGGGACCCCCCACTTCTGGGGGGGGGCCTGTGGCGACGGGGGTGGGGTGGGGATAGCCTCTCCGGAAAGCGGGACCTGTGCCGTGCGGGGAGGTGTAAGAGAGCCCAGAATGTCTGTCTGCGTCTTGATGCCCTTTAATCCCCTCCAGAGAACTTGATCCTGCACGACCCGTACTTCCAGCACGAGGACTTGAACTTCCTCTCGCGCAGCCAGCGGTACGAGGTGGCTGTCAAGAAGAGTGCCGCCTTGGTGAAGAAGATGAGGGAGTTTGGCATCTCAGACCCCGATGAAATCATATGGTTTAAAAAGTAGGTGTGCCCTCGGGTGGGCGGCATTTTTATCTGCGGCACGGGCTCAGACTTTAAGTCCGCGGTCTGCGGGGTCCTCCTGCTGGGCGCTTGACGTCTCAGGCTGGCGTGTTTTTATGCCCCTTGAAAGCTGTGTATGCGGGAAATGGTGTTCGCGTTCGTTCGGGAGCCCTTTAGAGGGATGACGCGGTACAATGCCGGTAAGGAGCGGGAGGCCTTGCGGTTTGCAGTCTGAAGGATCCCGCAGGTGTCTTCGGCCAGGCGCCTCCGTTCTGACCGATTTAAACTCAGTGCCATGGCTCTTTGTGGGAAGGAGGCCTGCTGGATTTAGAGGCGGAGTTCGGAGGAGTGTTCCGAGACCAAACACGGACGTATTTCGTACGAGGACCACATTTTTACGTGATGGTGTAGATCTTGAGTTTTAATCAGGGGAGCCTAGGGATGGCTGAAGAAGAACGTTGGTCGAATCCCGGAACGAACAGAACGCGTTCTGAGAACGTGGCATTGTCGGCGGGGGGCGGTGTCCCCCGGCTCGGCGCCCGGGAGGCCTCGCGGAGCGTGCCCGCTCCCAGTGCGGCGAAGAGCACTGCCTTGTGTCAGACCGTCTGTGTTTTTGGTTGTGCCTTGTGGTGTTATTTTTACTTACTTTTAGTTTTATTAAACTTATTGGGGTGACATTGGTTAATAGGGTCATACCGGTTTCAAGTGTACAATCTTGGTTTTGTAGTATATTTATTTTTATTTTATTTTTCCATCACCATATATCCTCTCTCTACTCTCCCGCCTTCAGACCGCCTCCCCCCATCACCATTTTTTAATTGGGAAAAAGTGCACTTTGCTTTTGCCTTTCTCTAAATAAACAGTCTGCATGATCTTTGTAGAGGATTCCTTTGGCCTGTAGCACCTCCTACACTTCTTATTTATTCCTGGGCCTTTCCTCCTTTAGGGTTTCTACATTTTAGAACTCCAATGTTTTTATTAATAAAGATTAAATGGTATGAATGGTGTATATTTAAGAACCAAGAAAAAAATGAAACATGTTACAAGTTCTGCCTTTATGTAGTAATAGTCATTCCTCCCATAATATTACTGCCTCTAGTACATTTGATATCTGATTATTTTAATCTTTACCTGGTTATTATTGTCAAGATGAAATAATTTACTTTAACCCTTAGCTCTACCCTCAGAGTTCCTCTCCATTTTTAGTATAAAAATACAATTAATTTATTTTTGGTAGCCCAAATCAGAACATTTACAAACTTCCAAATGCTCTTTTTTTATTTAAGTTTGTAACTCATGGCTGTGGGAATATGGAGGTAGAGCAGTGATTTTTAATGTTTTTCCTCTCATGGCACACGTGAACTAATTAGTAAAATTCTGCAGCATGCCAAAAATACATATTTTGTCGATTTGACCAAAAAAAAAAAAAAAGTGTAATTTTGAATCATTCAAACCAGATGGCTGTTATTGTGTTGGCTGTTATTTTTTTATTTGACCATATACGGGAAGAGAGGTCAATGCCCTGGCTAAGTAGTCAGGTGATGTATGTTTTAAAAATTCTTCCGCATACCTGTTGAAAATTGCGGGAGTTGAGCAACTCTTAGAACATTGTGTTTCTGAATTACCTGAGTTGGGTTTGTAAACCTTAAAATATGAGTAAGACTTTATTCCAAGAAATGGCACAGAGATTTATTTTGTTTTGCTTTTAAAGTGGTTGATGCAGTGTGGGTCAGAGTTGGTTCGAAGATTTCATCATTTGTTGTGGTAACCAGACTCACTTGAAGTCACAAGGAAATATAACAGAGTCCTTTATGTGGGTTAAAGATTAGTGGACACCAGCCAGTTGCTTTATTTCTTATGATGTAGACCTTGCTGTTTGGTGCTGTAAAGGAAAATCTTTAACACTCCCCTTTCACATTCTTCCAATATCCGTAGAACAGAACAGGAAGATCGACTTAGGTTAAGAGAAGGGAATAAAAAGTAACCTTTGCAATTAACTAATGCCATCAAGCCTAAGCCTGCCCTTGATTTTAACTCCCATCCATGTTTTACATACTGTTAAGGAAGTTAATATGATGTAGCCTAAATTTTAAGATACACCAGATTTCTCAAATGCTAAAATTGGGGTGGGGATATGCTAGAAGTGGTAAGAAACAGTAATATCTCTTTTCCTGGGGATTTTGGGCATTTGGTGGTCTCTTACATCCATTTTTCCTATCAAAATACAATTCCCTTATGAGAGTATTTTGAGGTTGACTAAGTATTAGTAAAATACTTTGCAATTTCTCAACTTGAGCAACAAAAGAACTGTTCAGTCCTTGAAAAAAATAAGACCTTGTTGTTGAGGGAATATAAATAGAAAAGTTGTTTTCCTGATCTCCGTTCCTCTAATTTCATCTGTTAATTATACTGTTTGCTATGAAAAACATGTTCTTGAGACTAATTTAAAATCCTAAGGAGAACCAATCATGGTTCTTTTTGATCCTCCTTAGGCTTTTAAAGTCAGTTTCTTGAAAAGCAACTTCAGGAGGGATTAAACATAACTTAAAAAGAAGCACTTGGATTTTGTTCTTGAGTTGATTTTCAAGTGGCCTCAAAAAAAAATCGCGGTATGATATTAAGAACATAAATATGTGGCAGTCTTTTTTTGTGTCACATATTTTTCTCCTCTGTCTCCTAGCATTACTTTGTGTCAGTGTCGCTTTATAAGCCCAGAGCCCCAGTTCCCTTGTGGAAGTAGGAGTGTCTTATGTTTCTCCCACTTCCAGCATCTAAATGACTGCTTGCATTTCTCAGAAACTCTTGTAGGCTGATTTCCTCTTTTGGAGAGACAGGATTGTGAAGGAGTGCTGTGGTGCCTTTGAGGAGGAGTCTGCACTCAGCTGTTCCTGAGGCCCTGGCTCCCCTCCGTGAGACGGGGTGTGTTCTGGGAAGTACGTTCTCCACAGGGTGGCAGCAGCCAAGAGCTGCTAACCTGAGTTACTTGGAAAACAGCTCACCGCTTCTGTGCATACTCCTCCTTTCCCCTCTTTCCCTCCATTCAGTTTCAATTAATATGTGATGTTGCTGTACCAATCATAGGACTTTGAGGTTGGCTAGTCCAGCCATTCCTTGGATGTTTGAGCGAGTCCTGGCACTGCCGAAAGGCGGTCTTCCACGCTGGACGGGGTGGAGTGATTTCAGGGCCTCTGCAAAAGAATTGGCAGTGTACCCACTCTGTCCTTTAATTAACCTTCTGTTTGTTGTACAGACCAGGATACACGGGGCGGGGGGCGGGGGGCGATCACAGGGGACGACAGGCACCACCTCTTCTTTATCCCTTGAGAACTCATGGTATCAGTCCCTTATGTTGTGCCTTAGGCCCTTGGTGCATGGATGGATGGAACACAATAGACCCCTGTACATCTATAATGCAGTGTAGCCAAGGAGGGCTGTATAATTTTTTTTTTTACTATTTCAGATTCTGTTTTATTAGAAAGTAGTTGAAGACTAAATTTCATTATGATAAGAGTTCCTTAACCTGGAGTGATTTTTAGAGACCATCGGTAACATGAACCATGCTCACATTACCTACCGACCTATCTGCGCTTCAGCCCTGGAATGTATGTTTACCACCCTGGATGTTTGCTTTGGTTACCTAGGGAAAAGTGGTTTACGTTCTTCTTCATTTTTTCATCTGTAATATTTCATTATGTGTCTCTAAAAGAACTCTTTTTAATGTAGCCAGAATAGCGTTACCATACAGAAAAAATTAACAAATTATTTTGAGTTTTTCAATTGAATTTATTGGGGTGACGTTGGTTAATAAAATTATATAAGGTTCGAGTGTATAGTTCTATGATACCGTCTGCACATTGTGTTGACCACCCCAAATCAAGTGTCCTTCCTACATCATTCTTCTTTTGGAGTTTTTGTTACCAGATCTAAAAATAATTCTTTCTATGGAATTCTTTTTTTTTTTAAAAACAAGTAAAACCTGAAAATAAAGCAAAAATAAAGACACACTCCAAAAAAAATCTCACCAACCAAACCAACACATAACACCAGCAAAACCAAAAACAAAAGGTGTTTTTAGGCTAAAACAATGGTAGAATTTGCTTCCTGGATTAAGTACAGAATGAAAGAAGAATTCTGGCCCTGAAATGACAAGGGGCAGATTCTGCTGTTGGCTTTTTAATGATAAAATGGTAAATTTTACATTTAATTTCATAAGAAAGGGGTTTGAATTTTCCTCACCTTCATCCTGAAGACCACGCTGTTTGGCAACAAGGGGTGGGAGAATGCAGTTTCTAGAGTGAGGCTGAGATCCTTTTCTTTTCTCTCTGTAGCTTATATAAGATCAATTTTGTGGAACCCATGAACCTCAATTTCTCCATGTTTTATTCCCACCTTGCTGAATCAGGGCACTCGTGCTCAGCAAGAAAAATGGCTGCATCCCGCCAAAGGACTCGAGATAATTGGCACCTACGCTCAGACGAAGTTGGGCCATGGTTCGTCCACGTGCGAGGGTTGTGGGTGACCTGCCTCAGTGACCCAACTTCAATTATCAGATGACTCCTGGCATTTGATTTTTTTTCCCCCCTCCTGCTACCCATTTAGGAATTTATTTTGAAATTGTCCAGTCTTAAATAAAATTCAGCTCCTCGTCCATGGCAGTGCCCCATAAACTGGCTCAGGACTCTGGCCTGAATGGCCCTCCATCGTTGCCTACTATGTTCCACACATTCATTTTACAATGTGCCAGACCGCCCCGCTGTGTTCGTGTCTGAGTATGAAAGTTTTTCTTGGAAATTCTTGAGAGTCGATGCTTCTACATCCGGTGGATGCCTCTGCTAAAATAAAGTTAAAAATGGATTTACATGGAAGGCAGGGGGTTAGAGCAGTTAAGTGTCTTTACTCATTGCCCACTGGCGGGGTTATGAGATGGTTTGAAAGAAAGGCAGTGATTCTCTGTTTCTTTTATACATCTTAATCTATACATGTCCGTGGACTGCATTACA